AATGATTATTTGGAAAACCAATCATTGAAAGGTTGCCACGTTTGTGCGACTATGGATATTCAAATGGATGTTGAAAAAACACACGCAACGATTACACAAAAAATTCAAACCGATATTTGCCAACATACGCATAATGAAAATATAAATAAATAAATCGGTGTAGACATAAGCCGCGCTGACGGGCCTTCGGCATATAAAATATAAAACTTTTTAAATAACTTTTTAAATTTAATAAAATGGTGGTTTATGGCTGGAAAGTTTTGATTTATATGTACAGTCTTTTCCAGTTTTCCGGATAAATTGGCCGTAAATTTTCGCACGGAGATTCGAACGGAATCGTTCGACAGTGAATTATATTGTTAGGGGCCCTGGCATTCATGCCACCCCCATCTGAATGTTCACATGGCACACAAGAAACTATGAGAATTTGTAGGCAATTTAAACAAATTTATAAAAAAACACTCACTTTGTACTTTATCGAGAAGGGATTTTATGATAATTATTTCCATTGGCTACAGTTGGTTAAATCCATTGTCACAATCGGGCCGATTCATGTGCAAATTCAACCGGAACAAGAATGGCACTCTTGTGAGTAGAGCGACCGAATTTTTGATCCAATGAAATATAAAATGGAAGCACAGAAAGGCCCTTCTATACGCATTATGAATTTTAAGTGCATTATTTCACTTTTTGAACGGAAGATGTTCAATCCGAATTGTGTTTCGGTTCAATTGGGAAACGGATAAATTGGCTGTTAAGATCAGGTGATGCTTAAGAGATATTTCCAAATCGGTTTCAATCCGAGTATTTTGAGAACGGAATTTCTGGAAAACCGTTTTGGGTATCAAGATCGTTTGGAGCTTCAGGCGTAGAGTTACAAGCATCAGCACAGTCACACAATGTTGATTTAAGGTCGTAATGGAAATTTCTGAGTAGATTGAGATGATCTGGACTGAATCTGTTAAAGCAGATTTATATTTCCTGCTCTCTGTTTCCTGAAGTTTCGTATGGATCAACAGAAATTGGTTTTTCATGTATTAAATCAAAGAAAGTATGGTTTTCAATCAAATCCCAGACTGGCAAATGTTTAGCTCCCTGAGGTTCGCCTGTGCAACTAATCCGGGTTAATAAATTTTCGTATCACTCTGTACATTTTTCAGCTAAAACTCTTGGTTTCGTTTAACAATAGCACTTAAACCAAAATCTCAAAAAGAAAGTCCACTTCAATTAATGAGAACTTTGATTTTTGGGCTCTTTGTAAACGCAAGTCAAAAAATGTGATTTTTTGCTTAACTGAACGCAGGCTTCCACTTGAAACTTGTACACGCTGTAGAAAATTCTTGACTTCGAGCAAATTGAAATTTTCACTTAAATTGAAATAAAAACTGGTTTGGATCAATAAAGACAAACGCAAGTGAAAAAATGTGATATTTTTCTTAGGTGCACGCTTGTGTTTGAAAATTCGTAACATCCGATCCAGAACAGGCAGCAACTTGAAACTTATAGAAACTGTAGAAAATGGTTGTCGACAAATGCCCAGGAAGTTTCACTTAAATCGCACCAAAATTAGATTTTCGACCGCGTTGTAGCCGCAAGAAAAAAAAGGGTTTTTTGCTTAAATGCCCGCTTGTGTTTGAAAATTTGTAACATCCGATGTAGAGCAAGCAGCAACTGGAAACTTTTGCCTATTAGAGGAAATACTTCGTCTGGAAAAGCCTTGAAGTTTCATTTAAATTGAGGAAAAATTGGATATTTGCACTCTTTGTAAACCGCAAGTGAAAACGTGAATTTTTGCTTAACTGCGCGATTGTCTTTGAAAATTCCTAACTTCTGACCCGAAGCAGGCATCCACTTGAAACTTGTACACGCTGTAGAAAATTCTTGAGTTCGAAAATATTGAAAGTTTCACTAAAATTTAAATAAAAACTGGTCTTTGCACAATTTGCAAACGCAAGTGAAAAAATGTGAGATTTTACTTAGGTGCACGCTTGTTTTTGAAAATTCGTAACATCCAATTCAGAACAGGCAACAACTTCAAACTTATAGAAACTGTAGAAAATGGTTATGGACAAATGCCCTTGAAGTTTCACTTAAATCGAAAGAAAATTAGATTTTCGACCGCGTTGTAGCCGCAAGGGGCAAAAAAGGTTTTTTGCTTAAATGCACACTTGTGTTTGAAAATTCGTAACATCCGATGTGGGGCAAGCAGCAACTGGAAACTTTTGCATATTATAGGAAATACTTCGTCTGGAACAGCCTTGAAATTTCATTTAAATTGAGGAAAAATTGGATATTTGCACTCTTTGTAAACCGCAAGTAAAAACGTGAATTGTTGCTTAACTGCGCGCTCGTCTTTGAAAATTCGTAACTTGTGATGCAAAGCAGACATTCACTTGAAACTTGTACATGCTGTAGAAAATTCTTCACGTCCAAAATATTGAAAGTTTCACTAAAATTGAAATAAAAAGTGGTTTTTGCGCACTTTGCAAACGCAAGTGAAAAAATGTGAGACTTTTCTATGGTGCGCGCTTGTTTTGAAAATTCGTAACAATCCGATCCAGAGCAGGCAGCACATTGAAACCTATAGAAACTGTAGAAGAAGGTTGACGACAAAAATGCTTGAAGTTTCACTTAAATCGAACCAAAATTAGATTTCCGACCGCGTTGTAACCGCAATGGGAAAAAAAGGTTTTTTGCTTAAATGCACGCTTGTGTTTGAAAATTTGTAACATCCGATGTGGGCAAGCAGCCACTGGAAACTTTTGCATATTATAGGCAATACGTCGTCGGGAAAAGCCTTGAAGTTTCATTTAAATTGAAGAAAAATTGCACTTTTTGTAAACCGCTAGTGAAAATGTGAATTTTTGCTTAACTGCGCGCTTGTCTTTGAAAATTCCTAACTTCTGATCCAAAGCAGGCAGCAACTTAAAACTTGTACACGTTGTAGAAAATTCTTGACGTCGAAAATGTTGAAAGTTTCACTTAAATTGAAATAAAACCTGGTTTTTGCGCACTTTGCAAACGCAAGTGAAAAAATGTGAGATTTTTGTTAAGTGCGCGCTTGTTTTTGAAAACTCGTCACATCCGATCCAGAACAGGCAGCAAATTGAAACTTATAGAAACTGAAGAAGATGGTTGAGGACAAAAACCTGTGAAGTTTCATTGAAGTCGAACCAAACTTTGATTTTTATGCGCATTGTAACCGCAAGTGAATAAATGGGACTTTTTCCTAGATATGTTCCTAATGGAAAATCAACATTAAACGGAATAGGAGCAAGTATCAGAGCTTTCAGCAAAGTTTACCAAAGAGAGCGAATAAGCCCGAGGTGGATTGCGTATCTTTGAACTTTCGCCGAAACCCCAACTTCTAAAGAAGTCTAGCGAGTTGTGCATTTATCTGCGGATTCATGAACTGCACTAAGGGCTTTTTCCAGCCTGCCCTCGTCTCGGTCTATAATTTTCGTGAAAAAGACACTTTTGATTTGACTATTCAACTCGGTTCAGCGGCCGGAATCAAAACAGGAATTTACGATTCGGTCAGCTTTACCGTCTTTATTACGTACGTTTTGCGTGCCTGGAATCCTCCTACTAGATTCATTTGCTATATTCCATCTTTCATCTGCGGTTTGTTTGTTTTTATGGTTTGCTTTGAAGAATTTCCCATATAAATTCTCCCCCCAGAAGACCGTAAAAATTCCACAAGAACTTGCCGTCCGGAATAAAGATGTACGCCCGCTTAATGGAACGACTTGATTTATTATCACCGCAATACATTGGGCTGATGATGTCGAAGCTTATTTTGTCTCCTAAAGCTCATAGTCGAACTGATTAAGGTGGTAGTTTGGGGCTGTTTTGCGTGCCAGCGGAAGGTCGCAAAAATGTTCCAAGAATTCTATGGAATGAGGAGGAAAAATCACTTGAAGAATAATTATATTCTTTGACTGATATCTTGCTCAACAGCCAGGGGCGGATCCAGCTTTAAATTCAGGGGGGGGGGCTTATGTAGAAAAAATACTGTCTTCTGCTGTCTATGAAATTAAAAAAATTATCGTCGTTTTGTTCAAGGGTGGCGTAAGATTATTGCAAAATTTCATGTTTTCCGTCCCGTTTTGCATGTTTCTCGGAAGCAAAATGAGCAAGAACGCTCGTTTTTACA